TAAAAATCTTGCAACAAACAAAACTCCAGGACCATATGGCTTCACAGATGAATTCTATCAAACATTTAGAGAAGAGCTAACACCCATCCTTCTGAAACTCTTCCAAAAAACTGCAGAGGAAGGAACACTCCCAAACTCATTCTACGAGGCCACCATCACTCTGATACCAAAACCAGACAGAGATACTACAAAAAAAGAAAATTACAGACCAATATCACTGATGAATATAGATGGAAAAATCCCCAACAAAATGCTAGCAAACAGAATCCAACAACATATTAAAAGGATCATACACCATGATCAAGTGGGATTTATCCCAGGGATGCAAGGATTCTTGCATTAATATGCAAATTAATCAATGGGACACATCATATTAACAAACTGAAGAATAAAAGCCATATGATCATCTCAATACATGCATAAAAAGCTTTTGACAAAATTCAACATCCATTTATGATAAAAACTCTCCAGAAAGTGGGCACAGAGGGAACCTACCTCAACATAATAAAGGCCATATATGACAAACCCACAGCAAACATCATTCTCAATGGTGAAAAACTGAAGGCATTTCCTCTAACATCAGGAACAAGACAAGGATGTCCACTCTCGCCACTATTATTCAACATAGTTTTGGATGTCCTAGCCATGATAATCAGAGAAGAAAAAGAAATAAAAGGAATACAAATTGGAAAAGAAGAAGTAAAACTGTCACTGTTTGCAGATGACATGATACTATACATAGAGAATCCTAAAGATGCCACCAGAAAACTACTAGAGCTAATCAATGAATTTGGTAAAGTTGTAGGATACAAAATTAATGCACAGAAATCTCTTGCATTCCTATACACTAATGATGAGAAATCTGAAAGAGAAATTAAGGAAACACTCCCATTTACCACTGCAACAAAAAGAATAAAATACCTAGGAATAAACCTACCTAAGGAGACAAAAGACCTGTATGCAGAAAACTAAAAGACACTGATGAAAGAAATTAAAAATGATACAAACAGATGGAGAGATATACCATGTTCTTGGATTGGAAGAATCAACATTGTGAAAATGACTATACTACCCAAATCAATCTACAGATTCAATGCAATCCCTATCAAACTACCACTGGCATTTTTCACAGAACTAGAACAAAAAATTTCACAATTTGTATGGAAACACAAAAGATCCCGAATAGCCAAAGCAATCTTGAGAACGAAAAATGGAGCTGGAGGAATCAACCTCCCTGACTTCAGACTATACTACAAAGCTACAGTAATCAAGATAGTATGGTACTGGCACAAAAACAGAAATACAGATCAATGGAACAGGACAGAAAGCCCAGAGATAAACCCACGCACATATGGTCACCTTATCTTTCATAAAGGAGGCAACAGTATACAATGGAGAAAAGACAGCCTCTTCAATAAGTGGTGCTAGGAAAACTGGACAGCTACATGTAAAAGAATGAAATTAGAACACTCCCTAACACTATACATAAAAATAAACTCAAAATGAATTAAAGACCTAAATGTAAGACCAGACACTATAACACTCTTAGAAGAAAACATAGGCAGAACACTCTATGACATATATCACAGCAAGATCCTTTTGACTCACCTCCTAGAGAAATGGAAATAAAAACAAAAATAAACAAATTGGACCTAATGAAACTTAAAAGCTTTTGCACAGGAAAGGAAACCATAAACAAGATGAAGAGACAACCCTCAGAATGCGAGAAAATATTTGCAAATGAAGCAAGTGACAAAGGATTAATCTCCAAAATTTACAAGCAGCTCATGCAGCTCAATATCAAAAAAACAAACAACCCAATCCAAAAATGGGCAGAAGACCTAAACAGACATTTCTCCAAAGAAGATATGCAGATTGTCAACAAACACATGAAAGCATGCTCAACATCACTAATCATTAGAGAACTACAAATCAAAACTATAGTGAGATATTACCTCACACCAGTCAGAATGGCCATCATCAAAAAATCTACAAACAATAAATGCTGGAGAGGGGATGGAGAAAGGGGAACCTTCTTGCACTGTTGTGGGAATGTAAATTGATACAGCCACTATGGAGAACAGTATGGAGGTTCCTTAAAAAACTAAAAATAGAACTACCATACAACCCAGAATCCCACTACTGGGTATATACCCTGAGAAAACCATAATTCAAAAAGAGTCATGTACCACAATGTTCACTGCAGGTCTATTTACAATGGCCAAGATATGGAAGCAACCTAAGTGTCCATCGACAGATGAATGGATAAAGAAGATGTGAAAAAAAAAAAAAAAAAGATGTGGCACATATATACAATGGAGTATTACTCAGCCATAAAAAGAAACGTAATTGAGTATTTTGTAGTGAGGTGGATGGATCTAGAGTCTGTTATATGAGTGAAGTAATTCAGAAAGAGAAAAACAAATACCGTATGCTAACACATATACATGGAATCTAAAAAGAAAAAGAAAGTTATGTAGAACCTAGGGGCAGGACAGGAATAAAGACACAGGTGTAGAGAATGGACTTGAGGACATAGGGAGGGGGAAGGGTAAGCTGGGACGAAGTGAGAGACTGGCATGGACTTATATATACTACGAAATGTAAAACAGACAGTGGGAAGCAGACACATAGCTCAGGGAGATCAGCTTGGTGCTTTGTGACCACCTAGAGGGGTGGGATAGAGAGGGTGGGAGGGAGATGCAAGAGGGAGGAGATATGGGGATATATGTATATGTATAGCTGATTCACTTTGTTATACAGCAGGAACTAACACACCACTGCAAAGCAATCATACTCCAATAAAAGTGTTAAAAAAAAAAAGACCCAATGCAGCCATAAATAAATAAACAAACAAACAAATAATTTTTTTTTAAGAAGGAAAGAAAACAGGTGAGGGGAACATGAAGGTTCTTTATGTTGTTCCATTTAATTTGTACATGTTTGAAATTTTCTATAATAAAAAGTATGTGTATTTGAATATTAAACTAAAACTGCTTTACTAAAGAAAAAATATTTTAGGGTCCTGAGAATAAAATAAGTCTAAAAATAAGATATGTAAGACCTTTATCAATAAAAATTTAAAAGATATTTAAAAAGACCTAAATAAATGGAGAACTATTCCATGCCATGATCATGGACAGTAAGACTCAGTATCCTAATGATATTATTCTCTCCACATTTATATATCCAATGCAATGCCAATCAAATTCTAAAGTCAGTACCCTAATGACATCAATTATGGTAGTGGTTGATACATTAAGGTACACTGATAAATTCAATACAATTTCAATCAAATTCTGATTGGAATTTTTTGTGGAATTTGACAAGTTGATTCTAAAATGTATGTGGAAGAGTTGTGGACCATAATGAAAAAGACTGAGTAATTTGAAAGTAAAAGAAAAACTTCTGAACCAGAGAGCCACCATAGACCAAGTGAAGATAAGTCACTAACTGGAAGATATTTGCATACATTAATGAATAAATATTAGTATCAAAACTTTACAAAGAGTTCCTATAAATAAATAAGAAAAAGACCAACAATCCAAAAGAAAAATGGGCAAAGGATATAACAAGCTATATAATGTCCAATTAAGAGAAGATGTCTAGGATCATTCCTTATGAGGAGAAATGCAAATTAAACCATATCCCGACTGGCAAAATTTAAGTCTGATAATATCAAGTGTGGATGAGGATGTGGAACAAGGGGAAGTTTCATAAACTGTTGGCAGGAATACAACTGGTATAAGAATGATAAAGAACAATCCCATAATTTCTAGTGAAGTTGAAAATGTGAATATTCTAAGTTCCAGCAATTTGTCTTATAGGTACATAGTTTGAAGAAACTCTCCCACATATACACAAGGAGACAAACAATGATGTTTAACAAAATCTTGTTTGTAACAGGAAAGTACATAACTGAAAACAAATTAAATAGCAAGAGAATGGATAAAGAAGTCACGGTACATTCATATTATGGAATAAAGCAGTTAAATTGAACTAGAACAATGTATTATTGAAGATGATTACAGAAAAAAGCAAGTTGCAATAGCATTTATACAGATTAAAAACATGCAAAATAATATGGTATGTTGCTTATATATTTATATAGTAAGATAACAAAAACATGTAGGTACCATTATTTTGTACCAAAATTAGGGAAGAAGGAAAATGAAATTGAGAAGGAGTACACCTGGGGCTACGTTTATAGGTCTGTAAGAATAGAGAACTAATGTAAATATGGCAAAATGTTAAGACATGAAAACTCATTTAGTGGGTACAATGGTATTTCTATTACCCTCTGCATTTCCTTGGTAGTTTGAAACATTTCATAATTTCTCATACAAATGATTGTTAATAAAAAAACTTAATTAAAATGCTAATTTTATGGTTTAAAGTAAAAATAGAATTTATCTCCCTCACTCACCTGCCTCTCAAAAGTTCTTAGGAAAACTGGCTGTTGTAGTTATGTTAGAACTTATTTTGAAATTTGGTTTTCATGTAAATCTAGATTTTAAATATATAGGGCTTATTTAATAATATATTTCCCATATAAATTCCACTATTCTATTGTTTCCTAATTTTAGATCCTAATATTTTGAAAATACATGACTGAAATTTGTTTCTTCAAGACTCTACACATTGAATTCTTTAGCAACAAACACCAAGGAACTTCATAAGTTTTTCTGTTACACTAAAATTTTGTGGTAAAAACTGAGCAATGCTTAAAACATCTGTTAGAACTTAGAAATATTTTATGTTAATTAGAGAATTTGAAGGAATATTATTTATTCAAAATTTAATTTTTGGAAATTAACATACACATTGTATTTGAGATCATAACCATAGAAAACAAACTGAATCAAGTATATCTTCTAGAATTACAAATATTACTTTTTACTTTATTAATCCCAAGGCCAGAATTTAAGGTTGAAACGAAAATATTATAGTAGTTATTGTATCTGAAAGTAACTCTGTTAAATATGGATATGGATACTTACTAAAAATAAACTTTCCAGTATTAAAAAGAAAATTAGACATAAGCACCCAATACACTATCATTGCTCCAATAAGAGACACCAAGGAGCAAAGGAGACTTGACCACTGCCCAAAGGAGCCAAAATAATATCTGCAGACATCTGGATATTCCCAGGTAGTGGTATCCACTGATGCTAGATAAAATATAAAAGGGAAAGAATAAAATTAGATGTTAATTATATATTCCATATTCATAATTTGTGTTCTCCAAATTAAATCAAAACATTTAGCAAAAGATTATGGGTATTCCACCACCAGGTATTAGACCATATTATGAAATAATAGTAATTAAAACATTATATACAGCAGAAATTAACACAACATTGTAAATCAACTATACTTCAATTAAAAAAACAAAACAAAAAATTATAGAATACATAAAAAGAAATGTAGGTGAATGAAATAGTACAGGTAATCTGAGAAGTAGATTATAGTATCATAAAATTTTATAATTAATAAAACCAAGTGATAAACCAAGGCTAGAAAAAATCATCAATAAGGGACAGAAGACATTATCCAATATTTGGCATACTTAATAATAACATTTCTTGAGTCATACTTCACACCACATGCCAATTTAAATTTCAGATAATGAGGGAAGTGGGGAAGGGCAATAGAGTAGTAGAGGAATAAGAGATACAAACTATATATTATGTATAAAGTAAGCTATAAGGATATATTGTGTAATATGATGAATATGGCCAATATTTTATAATAACTAAATGGAATATAAATTTTAAAAATTGTGAATCACTATACTGTACACCTGTAACATATAATATTGTACATCAACTATACTTCAATTAAAAAAAATTTGAGACAACTGAGTTAATTTAAAAATTAAATAACAGAAAATTTAGATGACAATGTAAAAATAGCACCTGAAAGGTTATCCTTTTCTATCAACTGAAGAAATAGAAATTACAGTGGAAAAGATAGGCAGATATAAACAAACTAATACGATACAAAAGCCATTCAAATATTGAATAGGAAAGAAATTAACAAAAAATAACAGGTAAAGGGCTAACTGCTACCTCATATAAAGAATTTAGCATATCTATAAGAGCACCAAGGGACCTGTGGATAAATGGGAAAGGGATATGACTAAATAATACAATTAAGAGAAAATATACCACGGCTTAGTAGAGACAGAATAAAACTGGAGGCAAAGCCTGGTCTGTTGATTCGCACTTGCTAAGATTCAATGAAATAATGTATGTCTATTTAGGTCCTAAACTAAAACAACCTAAAAAGGTATTTCCCTGACCTAAATTATAGAAATGACTGGAGGTAACGCATTGGTACAACTTTGAGAATTCATTACAAAGGACACATTGCTCACATTTTCATACTTATAATTTCTACTTTTAGGAGATTCCAACATTTAGATCTTTTGGTAGGGATAGGTCAAAACAAGTCACCATAAACTGATAAGAATCATAGAATTCTCAATTTAGTTCTAGCAAAGACCTTATTTTTAAAATACAACTTTTTAAATGATTCTTATGAGGAAATTAGCACCAAAGTAAATGCACTCTGCAAAGAACCAGACTCTCAGAATTTCAAAGGCAGCCACTAAATTCATTAACATATCAGTTCAGTCAAATGCTATGAATTAGAGAAGTAAATCTTTAGGCAGAAAATAGTTAACACATTTGTGAAATGTACACATTAGTGATCTACCTCAGCATAAATTCCTAATACCCATATCACTCATTTGTTTTTACAGTGGCAAGTTCTTACATATGATAGTTCGTGATTTCACCACTCTGTAGCAGCAATAAAGTGTTAAAAGGCCCATCAGCATGATGACACACATTCCAGTAGTAAACCCAGCCTGTTTAAAAAAATAAAAATACAGAACAACATATATCATCATTTTAGAATAAATTCATTTATAACCATAGTTACCCTAAACAATTATGATTAAAAACCAGACAACTAATGTAAAATTAAATATAATCATCTAGGGACCTCCCTGGTGGTGCAGTGGTTAAAAATCTGCCTGCCAATGCAGGGGACACGGGTTCCATCCCTGGTCCAGGAAGATCCCACATGCTGCAGAGCAACTAAACCCATGCGCCACAGCTACTGAGCCTGCGCTGTAGAGCCAATAAGCCACAAGTACTGAGCTCATGTGCCACAACTACTGAAGCCCGCGTGCTGCCACTACTGAAGTCTGTGCGCCTAGAGCCCGTGCTCCACAAGAGAAGCCACCGCAAATGAGAAGCCCGCGCACCGCAGCGAAGAGTAGCCTCCACTCGCCGCAAGTAAAGAAAGCCTGTGTGCAGCAACAAAGACCCAACTCAGCCAAAAAATAAATAAATAAAAATAAATAAATATAATCATCTATTTTCTTTAATAAATTTTATGTAGATTTATTAAAACCTCTATTGTAAAACTTAAAATACAAAGAGAAAAAAATTCTGGTAAAAAGTGTGCTGAAGATTATTACCTGTCTTATGCCCCAAGGAATACTTAGTATAGATGTTCCCATCATGGTATTCCAAATCATAAAACTGAAAGCAGAGTAAAAGCAGTAAAAATATGACGTTTGACTCTTCAAACATTTTAATTAAGACAAAAAATTAAAATAATCAATAACTTTTGTTTACAAAAAGTTTGTTATGCTCCAAACAGTAGTTTTACTCACATGGTTACTAAACTGGTGTTTTTACCATATCCTTCAGTGTAACTTTGAAGTTTATAAGCAGAACCTAATGGACTATACACATAGCACTCTTCTGGAGCTGGAACTACATGATCTGGGGCAACCTGGTTAACAAAAAAAAAAGTACAGAAATGTTAGAACCAGTAAATGTGCAACAGAGGATATTTTCTATACAACAGAGTACCTGACTCTAGACACATTTCCAAATATCATGAACAATTAAATAGTGTGTATATCTGATTAATATAAAAATTATTTTTCAAATATAGTAGAAGATCTAAAGGAGCAAGAGTTTAAATACTATAAACAATAAGCTGTTCATCTCAAATGAGAATGAATTCCTAGAGTATGCAATTGTCAAAATATTCTTCTCTTCATTTTCATGAGACAGGAGGAAGAAGAGCCAGCAAAGACCTAGATTAAGTAATTCTAGATGGACGAGACTTGGGTCTGAAGTGGGGGAAATTTTAAGAATGAAGTGGTCACCAAACTCCTATGTGAAGGTGGTTTTAGCAAAGAGGCAGGTAGGGAACTCAAACTATAAAGAATTGAGGAGTCAATAGAAGGGAAAGAAAGGAATAATAAATATGGACTATTCTTCTAAATGCTTTGGTACCAGAAGAAAAAGGTGAGCTAAAGTGGCTTAAGGAAAAGGCAAAGCAAGGGTTCTTAAAGACAGAAGATGTAAGCAAAAGGGAAGGAGCCAATAGAGAGGTTGAAGACGTACACAGAAAGAACAATTGAATAGATATACATTTTTATACACATAGCTCCCACCTTACCCTGACACATTTCTTTCTAATTCTACCTCCCTATTTTGGAGGGGAAAAAAATATGGTTTCCTGATGGAATTCTGACCATCTCCCTGAGAACTGTCCTTTGAGAATATGTAGTCCTTACACATAATATTAAAGACGTAGGAGCTGACTGGTATAAATCAACAATCTTTTATATCAGTACTTACTATGTAAATCTACAACTCTGTGCTAGGTTTAGCATTCAAGTAAAAATAATATACAACCCCTAACTTCAAGAAGTTTAAATACCAGTTGGAACACATGTGAAACAATTAGAAAACGCTATAAGAATAAAAATTAAGTGTTCAACTCGAACACAGGAATGACAATAATAATGATAACAACAACAATGGGGACAAGAATAGTTGGGAAACACCTCAAGAAAGTGGAGCATTAGGACTCAGCAGGTAGACAGGATACGAACTGGTGCAAAAAAAAAATATCAAATCCTTCTCTCTTTATGCATATGATTGGTGGTGTCTTGCGGGCAAAGAATGTCTTGAATGCCATGCCTGGTGTGGCTTTGGAAACAACTATTTCCTATAGATACAAAAGCATATATGGAAATAGGTCTGCTGCCTTCTCTTTACCCTCAGTCCTCTTGGGTCTGAGTTCTGCTGTCTTCTACTATGGAGTAAAAAGAAAAAAGGGGCAGGACCATGTCTGTATCAGGCAGCAGATAAACCATGATATCTAGCAGAGCAAGGTCAGAAAAAGTGAAAATCAAAAGTTATCAGGGATAGGATTAGAAGCTACAGGATAAGAAATTATTAGGAGAGACAGAAAAATTGGAAGATTGGATCCCACACTCTCATCAGTGGTCTAGGACAGTGCTTTTCAAACTTGAATGTTCTTGTGATTCACACAGAGAATTTGTTAAAATACAGATTTTGATTCAGTAGATCTGGAGCAAGGACTGAGATTCTGCCCTTTTAACAAGCTCTCAGTGATGCTGATATTGCTGGCCTGTGCAGGCCACACTTTTATTAGCAAGCATCTAGGAGATGTCAGCAGCCAAATAATTTACTACCCTTCCCCAATTTAGAGTAAAAATATTAACGTAAGTGGGGAAATTTTCAGAAATAAAAAGGTGTAACTCTGTAAAGACCTGACACCTGTGGTTTCATATTACTCTTCCCTAAAAGGTCTTTTAGGAAAAATAATTTTGGGATTCTCAGAAAATGAGCATGGATGTATACACACAATCATTAAAAATGGTCATATTATTAATTTTAGATCACTGTTTATATACTTTGATTAACTAGACTCATCTCACTGTCAGTTAACAAAAGGGATTCAACTTGGTGTACAATGCTGACTTAATTTCCAGGCAAACAACATACACTCAGACCTAGACTGGCCCAGTTGGTATCTCTGAAGTTTGCTTCCGTAAGTACAGTCTCTAGGAGGTCTGAACTAGACCCAGAGATATTGGATTACTTCTACTCCCCAGAAGGCTTAGATAATTCTGACATGGAACTAAGACTTTATCACAACTATTGATGTAAAGACCTAGGGGAAGAAAAAGTGAAAAAATTGGGGAAAAAAATTATCCCACCCAGAATATTTTGGAAGTCCCTACTATGATTACACAGAAGGAGATCTTAGTAATTCACAAGGCTTAAAATGAGATATCTGTGTTCAAGTGCCTAGCCCAGTCCTTGCCCCTCAGTAAACATTTAGAGTGTTGAATTCCCTTCTCCCTTTTTATTATTACCTATAAAAAATCATTATTTTTTTCTCAGAATGCTTCATTTTTCTTTCAACTTCCAAATTTCCGAATATCGTTAATTCTTGTAAGAAATGAAATTACTTACATATTTTTGATTCTAAGATAATAACACAGATTTTGTAAGATCAAGAGTCAACAAACCATAGCCCATGGGCCAAATCTAGCCTTCAACCTTATTTTAATAGCCCCTTTGGTAAGGGGCTGTTTAAATGATTATAAAAGAAAAGTAGAGAAGAATATGCAACAGCAGGTGGCCCACAAAGCTTAAAATGTTTAGTATCTGCTCTTTGACCCTGCTTTTTGATCTATAAAAGGACATTACCAAATAGGAAAAAAATATATGTTATGTATATATTTCAGTTTCTCACTCCTGTAGAAAATTTCTAAAAACATTTTTCCCTTGTAGCTTCAAACTTAAAAATTGAATAGACTAACCAGAACTTGTTATTATTTATGTTATTAATCAATGACCTAAACTACTTCAACAGTTTATCCTCCTCAAAGCTTTTAGGATTATGGATTAGCAGAATTTTAATCCAACAAATCTCTAGGCTGTTGTCAACATAGAGAGATTGTTTCAAATCTCTCTATGCCAGGCTAATAAGAATGAACTAGCTTGAGATGTAAGACGTATTAATTAATATCTTTGACTTTCCATGATGCTGTCCTTGGAATATGGCCAGCAAAAAGTTCAACTACTGGGAGCTGCCGTGGCTTATGTTGTTCAGTTCATTTCAACTTAAGCTTAGACAATTAGCAATGCTTTGCCCCTTACCAGTGCCTTGTCTGCAGGAGCAGTGAGCCGGCTGTAGTAATGAATCCTCTTGTTCATTGCAGAGGCATGGTCACTAACCCTCTGAATGACATCATTCACACTGACGATGTTTGTGGGCTCTATATAGAAAGGCCTAGAGAAGGGAATATACACTTGACAAAGAACGTTCAGGCAGAAATTCTGGAAGTCAGCCATTGAAGAAAATAACTTCTTGTCCTCCATTAGAAATGGGATGTACCAAGGCAAGGCATTCACTTCTCACTTTTGGTGGGAAAAGAAAATGTCACAAGAGAAGTATTATCCAATCCACAGAATAAAGCTTTTGTTTCATAATGCTATTACTTTAAACACACTTTTTTAAACTTAAGGAATTTTGCAATAGAGGAGACATAACAGAAAGACTTTCAATCAGTTATTAAAAAGAAATATAGCAGCTGGCAGTTTTCAACAATGAAACTCAGACAGACACGGCTTTGAATGTTCTCTCAATAAGCATCTGGCACTGAATCAGAGAAATTACAGACAAAAATGTTCCTCTAGTTAAGAGTCTCTACTCCTTCTTTACGGGCCAAAGTTACTTCTTATGATAAATACAATTCCTATTTGTTGGTTCATGTACTAAGGATTAGTGATCTCAACCATCTCCCTTATGAAACTTATCCAAAATACTACCAAATAGAACATCAAGATACTAGAGATATTTTGTCTCATTCTACTTTTCTTAGATTTCAGTAACATACCATTATGTTACTATTTATATGTATGCTTTCTCCTCATAACTATGTCCCAATCAACTGCAGATTATGGTTTTCAATCATCATTTTCAGTCATTAACCCATTCAGTTCCTTATTGAAACTCCCTCCATCTGCTTTCTTTCCATTAATAAACTACCCAAAATGGAAAGATCTGGCACAAGCTCATGAAATGACTGCATTCCTCAGATGCCCTGAAGTCACAAATGACACTGTCTCCCAAATTGTATATAATTTGCTATTTCAGATTATACACAGATCCAAATAAGAAAGGGGAAAAAAGCCAGGAGGTTTATCACTGGTTCCACATAAGTCTTCCTCATTTACAGTTCTGAAATAAGCTTAAAAGTTATCAAAGTATGGTAACCATTTTTGGAGACACTGTTAATCTAATCTTGTGGGAAGCACTTGAAAAACCAAGTGACTAGAATTTTAGTTTATGCTATTTTTCCAAATAACTCTGTGATATTAGAGAAATTAAATTTAGCCTAGTCTCTCTAGTTAGCATACAGAATCTTTGAATCTTTCTTTTATTATTTACTCTCCATCACAGCATCTAAATTTGGTGGGTACTTTCTAGTTCAATCTAACAAATATCTAAGAGCACTTACTAGAGCAAGTATGTGGATATAGAGATCAACATGACATACTACCTATAGTAAGCATATAACTGCTAAGCGAATTCATCGGTATCAATAAATCTCAAGGGTATACAATGAAAACGAAAGGGTCGGAGGCCAAATAAACTATCCCTACTTATAAATTTGGTAGGCTGAGATAACTACCTCGCCTTCCAAAGCATTAATGTGTTCTAAATAATTTACATCTCTACTGTGACACTCAGTAGTACTAAAAAGCAATGTAAAAATATTTATGTCTGGGAGATAGTGTGGGGTCACACTCTACAGGGCATTCTCTTCTTGTTTTATAAGTATGATATCTGACAAAATTAAAGCTACAGCTTTAATGCCAACATAAAGCAGAGATTTAAGCTAATCAAGGATTACTAGTAGAGACTAATAAGTATGATATTGATAGAAAGAGTTGTAGATGTTCTACTTGTAGCTTATTATCTGAAAATTCAATGGTATTAATATCAAGCACTAAGTTGGCTTGAAGGCCTGTTGAAAAGCAGTCCAGGAAGAGCTACATTTCTTGGCTCCTGGCCTCTTACAGAAGTGTTAACTGTACCAGTTTAGTTGGCTTGGGTACTCAGAGAGCAGAATGACTCTTAAAGTTTTTCTTTTCCAACAGTTTTCATCAAGATGCTGAGTGCCTGTTCAAACAAATATTTTGGAATCTTTTCAATGCAGATTCTTTTAAAAAATATACAACCCAGCATATTTTAACTGAATTATTAGAAACATATGCTTAAAGCTTCATCTGACAAAGCAAAAAATATAAATTATATTTCTAAATTGAACTTTAGTTGGATCTGAAAACACTTTTAAAATTAAAACTATACAGAGGACAATATTCAGAATAAAACATTTTTTGAAACTTGGGTTTTTTCTTTTGAACACAGTTTCACATGAGTGCTCCCTATCAATGTTACTTCCCATTTGAAATGTAGCTCAACTGTGCCACACTGAAAATAAATCATAATATTTTATGTAGAGGTTATATTTGTCTCACCTTAAAAATATTTATGGTCATGCTACAGAAAAAAACTGCTTTTAACATTCAGCAAAATTTAAAAAAATATTTTAAAATGTGACTCAAAACCCTTTATTTTCATTTAATACACTTATAAACAAAGAAACCTTATTTCTACCTAACACCTTTTCTAGGTTCCACTCCTTAAATTCCTTAAAAGTTTTTGGCTTTTAAATCTGTCTCCACCCTTCTACTGACGAGTTATGCTTCTCTGAAGTTTAATAACAATTCCATGACTCTTAAGAAGGTTCATACTCAATATGAAGACCCTTCATTTAAAACTATTCCTTTAGGGCTTCCCTCGTGGCGCAGTGGTTGAGAGTCCGCCTGCCAATGCAGGGGACACGGGTTCGTGCCCCGGTCCGGGAAGATCCCACATGCCGCTGAGCCTGCGCTCTGCAACGGGAGAGGCCACAACAGTGAGAGGCCCGCGTACCACAAAAAAATAAAAATAAAAAAAGCTTGTCTGAACCGGGTTCAAGAGAAAAATGTGGTATGGTGAGCACAAATAATCCTTGCAAGGAATTTTCCGTAAAAAGGAAAGAGAGCAATGAAATGGTAGCTGAAGAAGTAAGTGTAAATACTATAGGAAATACTTTAAAAGAATAAAAAATATAAAAATCACCTATAATCCCACAACCAGTAATCATTAATAACATTTTACCAACCTCAATCTCTTGGAAAAAAATAGAATGAGATACCGCTATATGTTCATCAGAATGGTGAAAATTTAACAATCTCAGTATGAAGCACGAGTAGGAGGTAGAGCAATGGAAACTCTAGTGGGAATGCAAGTTGGTATAATCCCTATGGAAAACAGTCTGGCACTATCCAGTGAAGTTGAATATACACATACACTACCGCCAAGCAAATCCACTCCCAGGTATATATCATAGAAAAGTTCTTGCATATGTATACCAGGAGACACATATATTAATGTTTATAGAAGCATTCTTTGTAAGAGCCCCACACTGGAAACATCCCATATGTTCTAAAGTAGAATGGATAAATAAACTGCAGATACTTACAGAATAAAATGCTAGAAACCACTGGCAATGAAAGTAGAGTTATATACAACTTGGATGAAAATTATAATGCTAAACAAAAGTCACAAAAGATCAGTGTGATCTCATTTACATGAGATGCAAAAACAGGTAAAGCTGAATTCAGTATTTAGGGATACACAGACAATAAATTATAAAGAAAAGTAGGAAAATGATCACACAAATGTCATGAGAGTGATCACCTGTAGGGAGGAAGAGGGATGTGCTTGGTGAAGGACACATGGGGAACTTCTGAGGTGCAGCTAATTTCTAGACCTTGTTGTTGAACATATGTATCATGCACTCTTCTGTATATATGATATGTCATGTGGTAAAAAGAACTTTAAAAACAAATCTTAAAGTAACATATGCTTTCAAAATTTAGTAATGAGACCAAGAGGGACTGAAAAAATCTTGTGTACCATACAGAAATTTGCTGGTTATCTTGTGGCAAAATATCTTAAAAATTTGTCAAACTTAAGTACGAATTATCTACTTTTCTTCTATAAAAAGACAACTGTTCCAAATTCGTTGACCTCTTCTATGATGACTGTGGCTATCAACAGTACGCTATGTAAGTACACAGCAGGTATCAAAAGCCAAAATAGCCGCCCACATATCTAATCCATCTCCCTTCAAGGTAAAGATATTTTAACAATGACTGAGAAAGCAGCTGCTCTTAAAAGAACTCACAATATACAGAGAATATTCTGATAATGGATGTTTAAAAATGTTTCCATTGTTACATGATTTTATTGTTGACAATAATGTCTGTCACCAATAAAAACTCAAAACTGCAGTTTTATAGACATGGAATAATTGGTCGAGAAAAACAAGGACATTCCTGAAGTATTGTATTTAGCTCCCCTCCAACGGAGCTTTCAGACCAGCTAGGCAGCTCCTGCATTCTGGCCAGAAGCCACTGGGTTGTAACAGTTTTGATTTTAATCCCAGTTAACCTGGGAAGGATGATTCTATTAATTTCTCCCCTTCCCCAAGCAAAGAGATCAGCTGCTTTCTGAAGGCTCTCTCTAAATCAATGCTTTTTTTTTTTTTTTGAAGCAGAGGAGAGGTCGGAGGATAGACTGGAGAGAGAACCAAGAAAGGTGAACAAAGCTACTGGCTGTTTCCAAATTAACAGTTTTAAGCCAGTAAAAACAGGAGTATTTTGGACTTTAAAAATAACATGGGATACCAGAATACACAAACTAGCACAGCAATCACTAAATGTAAGAACTGAGTCATATCAGGGAGGATAAATTTAACCAGGCAAATTTCAACAAAAACTTCCACATAATTGTAGGATGAGCAGAAATGAATTTCAAATCAGCTTGAATTACTATTGTGGCAAGGTGTTATAAGAGTCTCAAAAATAATAAAGCGTATTCTATTGTTACTGTTAATATTATAAAGTGAAAGCAAAAGTGTTAATGTACTGTTAATAGATAAAATTTTAAAGTTAATTTTATCAAGATCATTACATCTTATAATTTAAAATTTTCTATTTTTATGTTTTATAATATACATATTTTATAAGTACAGAAGTACATGTATATAATTTGCAAACGAACACACATACACACACATAAATATATACAGTCCCAAAGTTTTAGGTTGTTATTATTTGTTTAACTGATGAGGATGATATGAAAAAAGTAAATGTTAATAAACACCTGGTTGAAGGTTATGGGTTCTTTATTTTAGAGTTCTAAGCTGTTGCTAAGCCATGAGTAGACATCTTCATTAATGACATACGGACAAAGAACTTGACCTGAATATTAATTCTCAGGCCTAATTAAACTATATGTT